ATGGCGAAACCTGTTCGATCGGTGATTCCCCGAGATTTTCGCTCGGAGGTGAGGCCTTTGATGCGAATTCCGCCTCGATGCTTTTTTTTTTCTTCTTCTTTTTCTTTGGACGTATCTATATTCGCTTGCAATTAAGTAGAGAAAATAGTATAGAAATTGATTCAGAATCGATTAAGTCTCGATTAAAATTGTTGAACATTAATATGGAAACGAGAGCACGTTTTATTACCGAGGCGAATTGTAAACCCTTAAGGGAAGAGATTCCTTGTTATTTAATTCTTTGAGCTAAATTAATTTTCGACTCACGTAGCGCTGTTACTTTCAATAATAAATATACTTTTAAGCAATCGTTTAAATGCAGTAGTATAATTGTCAATTATAAATATACATTGCATTCTATAAAAGTGTAATTGGGAAAAATAAATTTGAAAATCTTTTTCAATATTGGACGAATATGGGAATCGCGATGGAAAAAAAGGAATAAATTAGCGATTCTCAAGATGGCGAAACTCGTCCAATCCAATTCTTTTTCCATCCAACGGATGCGAAAAATTGTTGGACGCGACCTGGACGGGCATAAAGAGCACCGTTGTGGCCGATCACGGTTGAACACGAGCGTCTCGCGCTAAATGTAAAGTCGGTTCACTCGTCTCTGCCACTACCTAGAGCAGATGAGCGTTAATTGGTGTTAATTGGTGGCGAGCTTGGGGCCCGCCGTTCCCACGCCCGCGACTTTCATTCGCTCGCCTTTTTTTTTCCCTCGCACCTCGTACACACATATATATATATATTCTAATTCGTCCGTCCGTTCGTCCGCCATCGGCTCTTCGTCAGACCTTCTTCTCCAACCGTCTTAATCGATATGGGTCAGCGTTGGGATTGGGACGGATAAAATTTCTATTATTTTTTCGTGGCGCTCGATCGAGTCGTGTCTTTATCTCTCTCCCTTTTCCTTTCTTTTGAGGATAAAGAGAAATGAAGAAAGTGGAACAAATTTCTTTGTTGATCGAGATTGCTATTTTCCCTCTTTGTTCGTGGATGGATTTTATTGAGATATAAATAAAAAAAGAAAATTCAATATATTATTAAATATATTATTAATTATATACAAATGACTTTCAAAATTTCCATTTTCTCCATTCCATTGTTTCCAACGAGAGTATATCACAGAGGCGCAAGCGGATTATTTATTTTTAACACTCTTGTTGTCTTTTTGAATTAATTAAACCTTTCGATAATTCTAAAAACAATTCCAAACAGGCCAAGATCGACGATACGTTTAATACACCGAATCGATTAACAGTTACAATCGTAACTCTCAATCTTATAATCTCATAATCACGTACAATTAGAAACCGTGAACGTAATAAAATATTATCTCGGATTCGTAATAATTGATCTCCGCCAAATAAATACCGTGCAAATTTCGCGTCACGCCTTTCGAAACTTTCGTTTATTATATTTTCTTCCATCCCATTGTCAATGGAAAGTATCCACCGCGCGAAAAAGATCCACCAAAGCGATGGATCTCCAAGCGAGCGTAGCGATGGATCTAGGAATTCGCGTGGGTGTAGCGCAGAAAACAGCGTTACGAGCGAATTTCCCCTTTCACCGGGCGAAACGTCTCTCTTTCTCTCTCTCTCTCTCTCCCTCTCTCTCTCTCTCTCTATTCCTATGTTCGAACGCATTCAAAGAGCGGAGCGTGCAACAGCTCGCACAGGCGTTCGTGTAATAAATTACGGTATGGATAAAAGTCGGGGTAAAAGTCAGGATCCGAGCAGCGCGTGTCTCTCGATCATCGATCGATCCGGGTCGAGGGACGTGGGTCGAGGGTTGTGGGCGTAGGAAATTCATTAAGTCGGATATTATTCCGCGAGATGCGGTTCCAAGCGTGGACCAATTAATTAATTTCCTGTCTCCTCAGTTCGGTATTCGTACATCGCGAAGGTTCTCGATCACCGATTTACGGCACCGAGCGTCGTATTCGCGGTTTCACACGGACAAGTAGTGAGTAGAGGGGGTAATGGATATGTGCAATGGGTTACAGATCAGGTATGTATTTATTTCGCGTTAGACGTATAGGGAAGAGATGTAAATAAATCGGTTGTTACCCGGCTCGAGATTTTATGGATACTTTTCACTTAGTGCGACGATTAGTGTTTTTATAAGTGTTATTTATACGATAGTAAAATCTGAACAAACACACCGTGAAATACACCGTTAGTTGCACGGAATGTTATTAGATTCGAAGAGATTCTAAGAAAAAAAATAACAATCATCGTTTCTTAAAATAAAAATATAACTCCTCCAATAAAATTGGGACAGCCGAACAATTTTATTAACTGCATCAATTTTAAATCTTCCAAAATATAGGAAAAAAAAATAAAGATTCCACGAATATTTTCCCACCAACCACCAATATCGCAATCTTCTCTTTCTCGTTTCATTCCAAAAAAAAAAAAAAAGAAAGAACTTTGCAAAATTCGAAATGCAAGGTTGGCGGCCACAGGCGAAACGCTTTTACGATAATGAAAACGGTGGTCGTAGAAACGATGCATGCACCGTGTCCGAAAAGGATCAGCGGAAGCACGTAGAGGAGGTCGAGGAGCGGCTCCATCTGGCTGTCGTTCCGTCGTGGCGCTCGCCGATGGGCCGGGAGACGCGTTACACGTCGATCGTGCGGCTCGGTAACTGCACGTAGATACTTACGTACGCCGAATAGAACGCCTTCTCCTTCTCTATGTGAGGCAACGTGTCTTTGGTTTCGCGGAAAAGATCGAACGAGCGGTACGTGAGGACGCGTACTAAGCAGCGAGCGAATCCAACCGAGCACGCCCGCAACC